TAACATCTGAGCCTTTTCAATTGGGATTTAGAGCCATTCACAGCACCCAGACCACTGTAATGAGAGTGACCAACGCTGTATTTCTGTTAGTGGATAAGGGGCAAGGCCAGTGCTCTCATCCTGCTTGACCTCAGTGCCGTGTTTGACCCCATTGACCACAAGGTCATCTAGCGATTCCAACTCTGAGGATTTCTGGTGCTACTCTTGCAGTGGTTTTGCTATTATTTAGATAAATGCATGCACTACAGCACAATGGATACCTTTAAATATCAAATCAGACCAGTTCAATGCGGTGTTCCACAGGGATCTGTACTTGGTCTCTCAATGATCAATGCCTACATGGCACCTTTGTGCACTTTGATACTTCATTTGGGCTTCTCTTATCACTGTTATGCAGATGACACCCAAATGTATGGCTGGTTAGGCTCTGGCTGTGATGACAGTTTCTGCATAGTCTTGACTCATTAAAATTAGTCTTGGTTGCAGCAAAATTTTCCGACTAGCACACAGTTAACGCATAGCCTGGTTGATTAAGTTCTTCCAAAGATTGCTAAATTAGAAATTAAGTGTGAAACAAACTTTACCGAAAGAACCAAAGAGTAATTCCTGCAGTCACGAAAGCTTAGAATCTAGTTTGAACCACCTCTACAGGGAAGGTTTGCCATGCTTGTTTGTTTCACACTTAACTTCTAATTTAGCAATCTTTGGAAGAACTTAATCAACCAGGCTATGCGTTAACTGTGTGCTAACCGACTCTCTGTGTTGCATTGCACTACACTTCCTAATTTTACTAAATTTGCTTTCGACCGTGCTTGTTTATAAGTCCATTCTCTCCTCCGGCCGCTATGGGCAGTAATTCCACACAATGCTCTGTGCTTGTTTGTTTCGCAGTCCAGTGTCCAGGTCGTCCGTCCCCTTTGGGCAGGAATTCCACACAACTCCCCCTCTGCCCCCCCCCTCTCTCTATTTAAGGCCTCGACACAGACGTTGTCTTTCTGTGTGCCTATGTGTGTCTTCATAATAAAGGTTTTTGGGTTAAATCGCGTTTATTTATAAATGTGTCATAACCCTCCACCACCCGACACGGCCAATCAGCAAAAAAAGTGTCACGTTGACAAAAGACAAATAATTCACTACTTTAGCCCACCGGTGTGTTGAAGAGTGAATCCACATTTACAGTTTGAGTACGACGTTTCGCTGGTAAATACATCCAGCATCATCGGGCAGCATCATCGGGCGAATTGCCCGATGATGCTGGATGTATTTACCAGCGAAACGTCGTACTCAAACTGTAAATGTGGATTCACTCTTCAACACACCGGTGGGCTAAAGTAGTGAATTATTTGTCTTTTGTCAACGTGACACTTTTTTTGCTGATTGGCCGTGTCGGGTGGTGGAGGGTTACGACACATTTATAAATAAACGCGATCTAACCCAAAAACCTTTATTATGAATAATATTGGTCGCGAAAGCCTACGTGTTAAACTATGTGTGTCTCTTACTCTGTCTCTGTGTAAGTCTCTCTCTGCTTGTGTGTCTGTGTGTCTCCATGTCTATGTTTTGTCTCTCAAATTTAGCAATCTTTGGAAGAACGTAATCAACCAGGTGGGGTGTTGACTGTTTTGTTGGCCGACTCTCTGTGTTGTATTGCATTATATTTCCAAGTTTACTATGTTTGTTTTCTCATTCATTTGTACCTGATGATGGTTGCTTGTGTTGCAATTGAAACGTCGTATTTAATTATTATTTAATTAAATTTCTTTCTACGTGACTTTACTGAAAGAACCAAAGAGTAATTCCTGCAGTCACGAAAGCTTCCAATCTAGTTTGAGATCTTTATTATTGTGTTATTTATATTATTCACAACTACGCTCATTGGTATTTAGAGTTCTTGCTTTCTGATTGGTATGTTGTGTCTTTATTCAGTCTCACTGAAGCTGGTTCATCAGTCTACATGGGTACACAGTATGAGGTGGCTTATGCCAGTTTGGACGACTGCTTCTGTTTAATAAGTAATATTTAAAAATACTTTTTAAAAACACGCTTTAATGAAATGTACCGTACTCGTAATGGCAAAACTCCACGACTCCAGGAAGTGGCCCTGAAGCTTGCCATAACGTAAGGGACCGTGGTGATTTACAGCCAACGTTAGTTGAGCGTGGACAATTAGACCCAAGCCGAAACATAACATATAAAAAAGATGGTTTAATTTTTATTTATTTTGTTTTTAATGATAGAAAATTGTATTGCCATCAGTATGACATAAGTATACCAAGTTTGCAGTCGATACCACATTGGGAAGTGGGTTAAAATATAGAGTTACAAGATTTGAAGATATGACAACAGACAAAGTGAGTTAATAGAAAGCGTGTAAAAAATATTTTTAAAAATATATATTTTTAATTTTAATGATAGAATATAGTGTATGATAGAATACAGTGTTGTCAATCAGTAAGACATAAGTATACGAAGTTTGCAGTCGATACCAAATTGGGAAGTGGGTTAAAATTGAGTTACAAGATTTGAGAATACGACAAGAGTGAGTTAAATAAAAGCGTGTAAAATAGAACCACATGCATTTTCATAGTCGACAAAAGCTATGTGTAATGGTCGAAAAATAATAACTTTTATTCCCTATAATCTGGTCGTATATATGTGGTCAATGGTATAGAAGCCTTTTTTTCCAAAAAACAGCTTTCCATCATGCTTGATTTGCCTCTAAATTTATCTTTATGCGATTCTTGAATTGCCATGAGCTCCAAGTAAGTTTGTGTTGCACGTGAGGGCATGCGTGTAAATGTAGGGTAGTAAAGTGCGCCTTAACGAATGCATTCTATACTCTCGCAGTACTTTGTGTTGGCAGCTTTGCCACACTGTGCCATTGCCTTGAAGAAAGAATGTTGTAGCGCTATGATATTCCCTTTCACTGTCTCTTGTCATTGAGTCCTGATTGTGTAATACGGCTGTCTTTGTTTTCTGAATGCACAGTCTTTGACCAAATGACCAGAGTTTATTTTTAGACCAGTGTTGGGAAGGGTTAATGTTTAAAATATATCCTTCTGGTTACTGATTTGCTCAACTTTTCAGAGATAATGCAACATGTTTGTATTTGTTTAATGTATGTGATTTTTTATAAATTATCTTACGTTTCTGAATTTGCATGTAATTTTGAGGCTTTATATTCAGTTTGTTGCACTTCACTTTGTTGTTGTGCTGCTGCTGCTACATTTCATTCTTGCATTCATCTCTGCAACCCCAGGATGCTGAGGGGAGATCCTTTAGCGCTTATTTTTGTATCACCATATTTTGGACATCCCTTTGATACATTTGGGCATTCTTCAGAGGATAAGACCCTAATGACAACACGACATCAATTTAAACTTGGGCTCATATTGAATTATTTTTGGAGAGTTATCGCCTGTTGGCTGCGATGCGACAATGGGGCACGGATCGCGGCTCTGCCCGAGAGGGAGTGGTTCAGTTAGTCAGGGCCAGGATGCCGTGGGGGGGGGGGGGGGCGCATTGTTTTCGTGTTGATTTTTTTTGTCCCTCAAGTTTTTGGCAACCTTTTTTTATCAATTAGGCCAGTTTTCTGTAGGGTAAGTCTCGAATAGCAACAACTTTACACAAAAGTTGAGTTCATATTGAATAATCTTTACGAGGGTTATTGTATCCCCCTGTTATAGATTCCCGGACGAACAGAACCTACACATCACATAATTGAATTCTAAATTAAACCATAAAATATAAAATAAAATATGGAATAAACTACTAAATACGAAACTTTTTTAATTTCATGAGGTAAGGCCCACTTAGCTATGTAGCTCTTTTTTCAGAAGTTACCTGGCTATCACAAGTGATAGCACTTCAAAGTGGCTTATTACGTGGAAATGTTTATAGCAACCAAATACTCTAAAGGCGCATTTCTAAATGTGGAGGGAAAAACCAGAGGAACCGGAGAAAAATCCACGCGACCATGGGGAGAACGTGCAATCTCCAAATATATATCAGGCGTAAAGGGTCTGGATCGAACCCATGGCTGTATACCAGGCGAGGTAGTTAACATCTCGCCCCCATTGCAAATCATGTAGCCACATTAGAACTGCGCGAGCTGCTTCTTGTCTCACAATTATTACAATCGTGATGAAGACCAGAGTCCGTGAAACAGTGCATTTTAGCATGGACCAAAGCACAGAAGAATCTTTGGTTTAAGAAGGGATTACAGTCAAAAGCAGGTGACATCAACATTAAAATTTTAATTGTTTCAGGGTGTGGTCCACTCTCCACACCTCAAGCAGTAAGAAGAGGTACAGCATTGCGAAGCCTTAGGGTGTAGCCTTTGACGTGCTTGTGGTTTGCTAAACGTCGCTAACTATAGGGAGAAGTGGGTCGTGCCGTGTTGATCTTTTGTGACCAGTGGGTTTTCAGGAGTAAAGGATGTTTTGTGAAGACTAGCTCTGTTAGTCTGCAGATTGTCCATTCAATTGGTTTTCGGAAAAGAGTTGTGATTAAGGGTAACTTATGACTGTCAGTCAACCATATATTCCTGACCAGAAGTACTGTACATTTGCTTTTTTTCAATGGGCTTTAACAGATGACAAATCTGAAAATTAGTGGAACATGTCAAGTTTGTTTGGCACTGTCCATTTTAGTATAATATATACAATAATGTTTTTGAGCAGTTGGATAGTGATTAAGTTAACTTTTCAATGAACCACGGCCTCCCTTTCACGAACCCACACTGGCCAACGTGGGGAAGTACGGTCAAACCTCATATTGGTCATAGTTTGGAGACGTATGATCAAACTCCATATTTAACTGTACCAACATAGGGAGACCTTCATCCAGCAATGGATTAACAAAGGGCTGCAAATTATTATTGTGTATTCCTGGATACTGTGCTGTGCATACAAAATATTGCTGTTTGTGCTTTGCGCTTTACAGTTGTGGTAGTTAGATTTTACTCGACTAACGATGGCTGTGTGTCTGTGTGTTCCCAGCACGACGAATTTGAAGATGCCTTTGAGCACGTTCCTGTGTAAGTTTCCCATTGTGAATTACAAACAGAAGGTGTGAAAGTTCATAGTATATAAATCACATAATTGCAATGAGTGTCACCTGCATAACTGAAAGAACTGAACATCACAGGGGAGTGGCTCTAGTTTGGCCAAGAAGCCATCGCGGCTGGTGCCAGCGCGTCTCCTTCTGTCTGCTAGATACTGGAATCATAGCAGTGTTGACGTCCGACTTTCGTGGGTTGCTCGTGCAGTCGGCCATCATGCGGCCATAGGCGACAACTTAATGCCTGTCTCTTTACTGCACATGCGCCTGCCCCTTGTCTGTACGTTGCTTACGCTATCTACTCCTGTCACAGAGGTCGTATCATCTTACACACAGTAAATCATCTAATTATGGGGGATGTCTGGCATACTGTATATAATTAATATTACCACATATTTTTTTGTTACATCTTATTCCAACCTAAGACATTTAAGCAACACTCAATAACTGAATATTGACAATTTAATGTAATCTAAGTCACTAACGGTTACCTTGAAACGTACATGGAAAGCTGAGGTTTGTTGATTGTGGTAGGTATCAGAGATATTATAACGTGGGTGAAGCAGTTATTTTGTTTATTTGTAAGATAAACGTAAAATAGATGTGAAGAGAGTGAACTAACAGAGCATGAGGATGGGTGTAACATTTACAAGCAATTCTGCACGCAGTCCAATGCGCACGCAGTGTTCAACTCAGTTTGGTTATTATGTTCTATCTGTCCATTACAGCCTGAAGCACTGGCCCTTGCATTTTTTGTTGAAGCTAGTTGTGCCCGATATGAAGACTCGTTCTTAGAAGCGGTTTTGAACCAAACAGCATCAATTTAGCTGAAACGTGATGCACAAAATACAAAACATTGTAATAATTATAGTCTTACGTTATAAGGAGTAAGTAACAATTATGGCAGCAAATAAACTAATGTGTAAAATGTATGGCAATGTGTTCATTTAGCAGACAGCACATGTTGCAGAGGGTGGGGGATTGAAAGTGAGGGATTGTGTAAGCTGTTGTTTTTACTTTAATGGAAAATAACCTGAGCCCCCTGAAACTCGCTTGTTTTTTATGAGTGTCGAACAGCTAAAGGATGTGACCGGTCACCACGTGGATGAGACGCCACAAGGGTTCCCGTGTTCTGCCGTAGCAGATTGCTCGGAGCTATATTTCCGTGGGATTCATTATTCTGAGAACCAGTCGTATAATGAGGGTTTATTTTTGGACTTTATGCTGCCTAAGATAATTTGTTTTCAATTAAATCTATATGTACTGGTATCCCTGTGGCTGCATCTGTGGCATAACACTTTTGCCACCTGCTGCACTTATTTGATCAACAGGAAAGTTCATAGTTGAAACACTTCGATATGCAGAATATTTTTTTTTGTTAAGTCTCTGTAATTTTTTGGAGATTTGCAGGTTTCTATTTTTTTTGGGGCCTGGTTTAATTGAAGGTCACTTAGTTGGGTTTCTTCAGGCTTTGCCCCTTGTCTCTTTTTAGGCTCCCACCTCTTCCTGATCAGGCCCCACCCCTTCCTCCGGACACAGTGTTGGGCTGGTTGAGGTGGTGGTGAGGGTTGTGGAAGAGGTGGGAGTGCATCTCCATATACCATGGTTCATCACCTCTGATAATGGGATTAATTACTTCTTGTTTAATTTCATAGGTTCATTATTCCCACCATTCGGCATTTCCCTTCTCTGCTTATTTTGCGCAAGCTATTCTAGGATTTTCGATAACTCTACAACATTTTCTCCATACTTATTCAAGTTTGAGCATAAGTCACAATCCAAGGTGTATAAAGTTGCATTTATTTATTTCAGTTCAGAAGCTTGTGCGTGATACGTGCGTCAGTTTGTTCCTCGGAGAATCAATTATGTTTGATTCATGTGTGGCATATATGTGGCGAGTTCACGTGAGCTCTGCAGTCACTGGAGGTGCTGCCCCTATCACAAAGTAGAATCATTAATTTGTTAGGAGTCTCATTGTAATGGTGCATTAAATCTCTGATTTGTGATGGGTCAACAAATGCCTTCGTCTTCTTTACAACTTGCGCTTAATCTCACACTGCATTTTAAATGCAATGAAGTGATTTATTTTAACGCTCTGCCACCCTACTTGTATAAGCTGGGCCTGGGGCTGTTAAAATGAGCATCGGAATCTGTTATTGTATTATTTTAGCATTCATGAACGACGGCATTGAGAACTTCAAAGGAAAGCTTAACACTAAGCAACTGTGTTATACGGTGTGGGTATAGACAGCGGTGTTGTAGTCGCCAGTGCATTGTGTTTGGAGGCACAGAGGCTCACTGCTCGCAATTGCTGCGTTCAATCCTTCATCCAGCATTGCTGAGCTCCTGGGTTAAAATCCGATTGCATCATATTTTCTTCTGGGAGGAATGTTAATAATGTCCGGCTGACCACTGACATCAGAAGAGAGCACCATTTTTTTACATAACTGAGTTTTGCCTAATCTTCATGGCTAATGTTTGTAAACATGTAAAAATGGGAGATGTTAGTTTTCATTCTGAAACATGTTTACCCAGTAAAGTTTCACTGAGTGAAGGGTCCTGCCAAGTTTTCACAGGAGGGTAAGATGCTGCGGTGTGTAATCCCAATTGAGTAAGTAGCAGATAGTGTTTCAGAATTGGGATATTCTGGCAATACCAAGTAATATTTAATCTTGTTTTTAGCTACAGAAGGAAATTAGAGAACCCGGACAAAACCCATGCACATTATGGGGATAAAATACAAATTCCACAGAGAGAAGGGTCTGGGTTAGGAATCCACCCATGTGGTTCTTGTTGTGCCGCACCCTGCCGCCCATGAGGTGTATATTCATGCGGGGCATGAAACGAAGATCCTGGAGCCTGTCAGTAAAAAGAAGCAGACATGACTAAGCATTCAATTTGGTGTTTTTTTGTAATCATGAAAAAAAAGGCATTGATTCTTGTTTCGAATCACGAGACTAAGGACCGCAAGAATCATATCACAGAGCAGAGAGACACAGTTTGACTAATTCTGAATCTGACTTTTTGCACAGGAGTCGTTCACCTCCGTTGATCAGCACGAACCACACGCAGCTGCTTTCTTGTATCAAATGCAAGCATTATCTGGTTCCCATTGCACACGGCTCCTTTGTGTGGTTGGCTCTCGAGCTTCCACGTCATCTCTGTTGGATTCATCGTCCTCAGCTCACCAACCAGTTGATACTACCGTGGTTCATGTTCCCCTGAGCTTTACTAGTTGATTATTCAAGATGCTGACTGTTTCGTCTCATCCACGTTGTGTTCAACCACCAACACTGTAGGTTACAAAAACACACTCGCTAATGCATCCACTCACCCATTCACTCGGACCATACTGAAGTTCAAAACACTTCTTTTTGCTTCTTCCTTCGCACTGCTTCACTTTGAAATTCCTTCCAATCGTCTCTTTTTCCCAAGCTCTTACAATAATAACCTTGCTTAATTCAAGAAACACGTTATGTATTCCATCTTTAATAGTACTCTTTGTTTCATCTTCTTTGGTTCTTTCGGTAAAGTCACGTAGAATGATTATAAAATAATAAATTGATAAAATAAAATAACACAATAATATTCTCACGACGTTTCGGCCACAACACAAGCGGCCTTCATCAGGTGAAGGGGGCGAGACTCGAAGGGGGCGAGACTCGCCCCCTTCACCTGATGAAGGCCGCTTGTGTTGTGGCCGAAACGTCGTGAGAATATTATTGTGTTATTTTATTTTCTCAATTTATTATTTTATTATCATTCTACGTGACTTTACCGAAAGAACCAAAGAAGATGAATCATTGCAGTCACGAAAGCTTTAAATCGAAAAGTACTCTTTGTTGTTGACAGCTTGACATTTTGAACCTTTGGGCCTGTGATCTTAGATATCAGAGGTTCTTTCCTGTAACTGCCTTGTGTACCAGCCAGGTATTAGTGCCTGTCACTAGTACCTGCCACTCATTTAATGTGTCGGTGTGTTGTCGATTTAACTCTGTTGGCCAAAAAGTACTTGGTGTATACACTGTTGTCAGTCACTTTACAATGTAGATACTCCTATGCCTCGGGCATTGGCAGCTGCCATACGTAGAATACATGGATGGGCCATTGCAAGTGTGAAGTGTGCAGTCTGGCCAGGCATGTGTCTCTACGCCACGTGGCACTATTTTGGTTTATTGTTTCCTTCAGGTGCAATAGCTCCGACCTCATGTGCAGAGAGACAAGAAGTAAACTGTGACAAAAGGAAGAAATGTCATAATTGCAGGATAACGACAATGACTAGTTAAAATTGAGTTTTGCACCTAGTCATACACTAATGATGAAACATACATTCAAAGGGAATAATTAAATCTAGGCTGGGTGAATATAATGCCATAACTGGGTGGTGGTCGTTATGCATGTGACCTGTAATCCAGCACTATGGAGGCAGCGAGACTTGGAAGATCACACGAACGTAAAACTCTCTTCCCATGGGCATTGAGGAGCCATACCATTGGATTGCCAGGAGAAGGCAGTACAGCAAAGTGTGAACTAGTATACGGGCAGTCCTCGACTTACAAATGAGTTTAGTTCCCGAGACCTGTTCGCAAGTCGAACGGGTCGTAAGTCAGTACACAATACAAGCAGTCCCCGGATTACAGAAGACCCGACTTGCGGAAATCTGATTTTACGGAATGCTCTCATAAATCATGTAAAAAAAATCAATATGCGGAAATGTTTGCGTTGGTTACATGAGCACAAATAGTGCAGTGTGGTGAGGTTGCAGATGAATACCGTGGAGCGAGCGCTAAGCTCCACCTTATGCCTTGCTCCACCAAAGCTTCACTAGGATGAAGGTAAATGGAATGTTTTGTAGGATTATGTATTTGTTTGTTTTCTATGCTTAGAACTATCTTTTATTCCCATGTTTCTATTGCTAGTTTTCTTCATTTTAAGTGTATTTCATAAGTTATTTACTCTATGTACTATGTGTGTATC